ATACTTCACGTTCTCTTGTCACTTAAGTCTGCAAAATCCCATGGGAGACTTGCCATCATACATCTCAGTTTGGAGCAGCCCCATTGCCAAGGCTCCAGAGCCACAGACCCCAGTGGGTACCATATATGGCTGCGCAAATCTAGCTATGGGTGTGTGTAGAAGGACGCATAACTTCGGCTCCGATTCTTAAGTCCAAGAGAGAAGTCAGTTCAGCTTAGAGGGAGCAGGCTGGGGACACGGAGATCAGGTCATCCAAGCCTTTGGAGGGGCCAGCCTGCCTGGCTCTGCTATAACCAGAGATTGAATGAGAGGCACCAGCTCCTCTCAGGCGTCCCCAAGGGTGTCTGTGCAAACAGTGTCAAGATGATGCAGAGCACCGAGGAACATTCGCTAAATTTTGCCAAGTGCTTGGACACCCGATCACAAGGGTGACCCAGAAAACTGCCAGTGCACCTGTGATGAGGGGCTTGGCGCGGAGCCCGGCCTGGAGGTCACCCGAGGTCACTGCTGGAGGCGGGGAGCCCAGAGCCGAGGCTGCCTAATGTGGAAATGTTTGGATCCGAGCGGGGCAGGCGCTGGGGGCAGCCTCCAGGCCGATGGGGAGGAGACCCGGCCGGCGGGGGCCGGCGCTCAGCGCTGACAGTAACCAGACGCGCAGAGGACCACGTGGTCCGCAGCGCCGCGCCTGCCAAGACCCCGACAGCATCTTTCCTAATAAGTCTGGCGATGCCTGCGTCCTTTCTCTCTCGGCAGAACAACCTCTCGCCTGCTCCCAGGTCTTATTTAAGAAGAGCGGGCCGCAGGGGAGAAAAGCAAGCCAAACCCAGCAAAGAGGTGGAGGCCAGCCCTCCTCTCCCCAGGCTTCCCTTCTCCGCAGAAGCTCGGCTTTGTGAATGAATGAAGGGACACTTTCTCCAAGATGGCATACTCCACGCTCCCGTTGTTGAATTGGTCTCATCTGTTTCAGCACGTCTCTTTGGGGTGGGGGTCGCCCCCGAGCATCTCCCTCCGCGGTTCCCTCTCCTGCTCCTGCCTACCCCTCCCTGCAAAAGCACCGCCCCTTTAACTTCAGAAAGAGGTCACCCTCCCAGCATCTGGGTCTGGCTGGGAATCCACGCTTCCTGGTTGCCTCCCAGCCCCACACAAGGGAGGGCAGGATTACAACACGTGTGTGTTTGGGTCAAAAGGAGCACTTTTGAACTATGCCTGCAAGAAAGAACAGCCTGTACAGCCACCCCGAGTCTCCCAGCAACAAAGAATGTACAACAAAGAATGATTAGCCCTCACTTGCAAAACAATTTTTTTAAAGAGGTGCAGTGTGGTCTCTTTATAGGGTCGTGGAAGGAGGGTAGCTGGATGGAAAGGCGCCCTCCCTGGACACCAGAGCACCCGCGTCATTCCCGCTGGGGGAGGGGGGGGGTGGTTTATGACCTTGGCTTTTACTCAGAAGCCCTTGTAACACGATTACCGATTACCGACCGGGTTTTGCAAGCTTCCAGACCCAGGTGTGGTTGAAGGTCAGATGCTGGTGGACAAGGGGCTCTCCTGCGTGGGGAGAAGGTTACAAAGAGCAATTTTCCTGTCCAAGGGCTCGTAGATGATTAACACGTTTCTTTCTGTTAACCAGAGAGTTAATAGTCATTCCAAGCACTCTTTGATAATGGGGGCGGAGGGGAGAAAAGGAATACTGTTAACCATTAATCAAGAGAGATGCCATAAAAGTTAGTATGGAAAATACGCAGTTTGGGAGAGGAAATCACAGGCAAGGCGAGCCTGGGACAGAGCAGGAGAGGGAGCAGAGTGAGGCCATAAAGTTCATGCATACTTAGAATGGGAGATTTTTTTTTATCCTTTTCCTTGTTACATTACTCTGAGGAAACAGAGTAGGGATAACAAAATAACAAACATGGGAACATTATAAATAAAGCCAATTTTATTGGCTCTTTTGCTCCAGCCTCCCACAGCTGAGCGTGTCCTCTGCATGACTTCTCTGGGCCTCTCTGGGGAGGAGAGGAGCCCAGACACCCCACCCTCCCTTGGAGAAAGCCAGGGCGACCAGAAGGCTCACCCCAGGAAGCCTCTCCTGGGGGCCCCCCTTAGCCAGTGCTTTCATCCCTGACTCAAATCATCCTGCTGGGCCCCTGGGCAGCCTCCCCTAGAGAAGAGGTTATGACATGAGGCCCTGGTGCCCATGAGTGCTTTCACAGCAGGCCTGGCCCCAGACACAGGAGGATGCAGGAGCAAAACTCTTGCTTTGCACAGGCAGCTCCCAGATACCCCACCAAACTTTCTGGGTGCAGCAAACAAGCCTGTGTATTAAAAAAAAAAAACAACAACAAACTTTGTATCATTGATGAGGTTTCTACTTGATGCCCTGCACTTACTTTTATCAGTTGATTGATTTGATTTTGGCTGGGTCTCGATGCACCTTGACTTTCTCTCATTGTGGCACTGAGGGCTCCCTGGCAGGGGGGATCTTCGTTCCCTGACTAGGGACTGAACCCACATCCCCTGTAACTCTTTCCCACTGGACCACCAGGGAAGGCCCCAGCATGTGTATTTTTTTAAAGCCTGATTCTCCTGTGTAGCTACAGTCTAATGGTCGTCACTGGAGGAGGCAGGGTGGAGAAAGCTGGGTTGCAGAACTCAGAGTAAGGTAAGGCATGCGTTGATGGCCCAAGAGGATGACAGCCAAGATGAAGAATGTGTGATAAATGTGGATGGTCAAAAGGTTCTGGACAGCACTGGAGCAATGCTGTGCCCAACACGCTGGGGAGACTACCCGCTTCCCTCCCAGAAACTTGGAAAGACATGGTGGACAGTATAGATACCTGTGGAGCCACTCCTTTCATCCAGTACCTGGAGGGACACAGGCCAGGGAAAGTTGACTTCAGGGAGGCATGTCCCAAGAGCCCGTGACACTCACATGGTAACTCACCTACTTGTGTAGGCAGAGAGATGGCTTCTCTTCTGAGCTCTGTTCTCCACTTGCTCCATGAATGAAGGTCTCATATTTTCCATCTGTTAAATGGAATAATAATTCTTGACATCTGCCTGCCTCACTTGGACACTATGAATAGAACATTTTCCCAAGTGCTTTGGGCTGACGTTAAAAGGAACTTCCTAAACATTAGCGCACTCACTGCTAGATTTTCTTGGACACCAGTCAACTTAAATGGATAATAATAAATTCCTCTGCCTATCTTTGTTGAGAGATTAAAAGAGAAAAAAAATCCCACAAGACTTTGGTTCTTGAATCCTCTGCTCTATAAAATCTCTTTGGGGAGAAGGGTCTGAGGATATACCCAGGGTTGAAAGATGGCGAGAGTTGTTTCTAGAATATTGTGGTTTTAAAATCCCCTTTCCTGAATGATGTAGACAAAAGCAGTCTGCAACAGGAGGAAACGAATGCAGTCGAGTTGCTACTGGACTTTGGGACCATGTATAGACATGAGATCGATTCATAGATACATGTACTCATTGGCATTTATTTATTTAGCCCATAGCAACTTACAGAGTGTTTATAATGGGCCCCCAACCACCAGCCCCAGGTTTTTTGCCCCTGTCTGACCCCAGAACCAGCTCTCCCTGGCTGGACCCCCCCCCCCAGAGTCAGGCTGCCTGTCTTGCACCCCAAAACCCACTCACATGTCCCCTTATTCTTTATGTCTATGGCAAGGTGGTGAGGGAACTTCCAGGCAAAAGGGAGTTGTTTTCTGGTCTGTGTATGTGGTGTGTATATGCCTCAGACACACAGAGACTAAAGGCAGGAGGAAGGACAGAGATCCCAGTAACCACCCCAATAGCCTAAGATGACAGTTCCTGGGGGTGAGGTTGTAAAGTCCAGATAAAATTACCATCTCCCTGAAGAGTTTGTAAGTATCTCAAGCATCAGGATCTGAATTCCCTTATATTCTGTAGGGCTGTTTACACAACAGGGTTTTGTTGAATGGCAACTGAAGAAGTGATTTATTCAGTGGATTTGAGAACTAAATCATTCGCTTTTAACTCCTGCTGGTGTAGACAGATACTGAAGGGGTTTCCTTGTTCTTGCCTCACCTGGGGGCCTGCCATTGCCTGTCTGGACTAAAAGTGGAAGGCACAGAACAGCAACAAAAACACAGCCTCTGAAAATTCAATCCCTAGAAATTGACCCTAGGCATTGACTCATGTCAGTGAGCCGCCACTTGCCAAGGATTGTAAACAGACAAGAGGAGGAACCTGACTGGAATTGCTCCTTGGATCTTGTGCTTCTTTTTTTCCTATCCAGGGGCTTAAAAGTTTTCTCAGCCTTTCCTGCGTCTTCCATGGCTAGGTGGGAACCCAGCGCATCCTGGGACTCACTCGAACACAGACAACGTGTCGTCGGGACATTATACAAACAGATCCATCCAAGATAGAATGGGATGTCTCCCAACACAGGGAAGGTGAGTCTCATGTTTGCCAGCAAAGACTGTGCCACCACTCACCTGGCATGCCATGAAACGGACTCCCACCCTGGGTGATCAGTTACACCTGCCAACCAACTTCAAGGGTCTCTTCCAACTTGAGATCCTTTATTTCCTGTGGTTTCAGGTCGGGGGACTACAGAAAGAACGGTGATAAGGCATAGATTCTGACCCCACAAGAAAGGACAAAGCTTTGATAAACGTAATCGATTTGGTGTTTGGGTCATCCTAACAGATCCAACGCGTGCCAGCTAATCCACTCCCTGGGGCTGAAGCTTGTTGTGTAGACCCCTGGGAAAGCTTGACCACCAGCGGCAGTGACAGCGGGCGGTAATGGCTTCCCTTTGGCCAGCGTCCTTGTCCCTCAGGGCTCCACCCCTACCCTTCCGAGCACCTTGCGCATTATCTGAAAGGTGCAGCTGGTACAAAATCTATGTGAAAGGCGCTCGCATAAAAGTGATTTTATGGCTCTGGCTTGGGTTTGGAAGCTAAGCAAACAGAAAGATCTCAGGAATAAAAGGGGCAATAAAATCATTACATGATGCTTTGAACTCATACTAAATACCATCTTTATTTCAAGGTTCTCAACGTGTCTTACCAACAAGTTCAGAACTGTCTTTGTTGCCCCCTTTAGTGGGTGGGGAAACTGAGTCACAACTGGGTGAGGGCTGGGGAGCCTGCAGGGTTTGCTTCAAAGACCAGTTGTTCGGTGGGCCGGTGGGAGAGCACTCCCGACCACACCTTGGTTCTGAGGGAAATGTACAGATTCTGAGCTCTTGGTGTAAATCCTACCCACACAGCACACCTGAGACCCAGTGGCTGGCTGGCTGCCTCTGGAGTTAACCATAGTAATAACAGCACAGACCAGTCTTCATGCTTCCTGTACGTCGGGCACCACCTCCGCTACTTCTCACTGCAGTCCTGTGATGTCGGTGTTCTTATCCTCCTGTGTAAATTGGGACAGTGAGGTATAAGAAGATGAATGCATTTGGAAGGACCCCCGCTGGAGGGCGTGGTGCTGCCTTCTGATCCCAGAGCCTGAACATTAACAATCGGGATGCTTACTTCTGAGAACAAGGACCAGGCCACCATTTTTGCTCAGAAGCCAGAAACTTTCATTTATCTCTCCATTGTTTTTTTTTTTTTTTCTTGGCTGCACTGGGTCTTAGTTGCAGCATGTGGGATCTTAGCTCCCTGACCAAGGCTTGAACCTGAGCCCCTGTGTTGGGAGCTCGAAGTCTTAACCACGGGACCACCAGGGAAGTCCATCCCTCTAGTCTTCATCTCAGAATACGGAGAAGGCCAGGGACAGATTCTGACAGGTTTCCCTTAGAGGTCAAGGGAACAGTTTGAAAGACAATGAACAAAGCCATGAGATGAGCCCGACAAGCATTTCTAAAATCACAAAGAAACCCCCTCCCAAATGCCAAGAGATTGTTGAGATGTTGGAGAAAATTCTAAAGAAGTCATTGCTGGGACTTCCCTGGTAGTCTAGTGGTTAAAAATCCTCACTTCCACTGAAGGGGCACAGGTTCAATCCCTGGTGGCAAACTAAAATTCCACATGCCACGCATGCCCCCCCCCCCCAAAAAGAGTATTCATTGTTCCCGTTATTTTACTATTTAAAATTTGAAAATTGCCCCATTGAATGTATTTTGATTGTCCAATAGGGAGATAGCTCAAGAGTTACAAAATGAAATACCACTGGCCCAAGCAGCACCCGCTCTAGATGCTATGGTGCTCAATCACCCCCTCCTGGAGCACCCAAAGCCCCTCCTGGCCCACAGGGGGACTCTGCCTAGCTGCTCAACAAACCTGGCTCCCTTTCCTCCTGGGCAAGCTGGGCTCCATTTCCCGGCCTCCCTTGCAGTTAAGTAAAAGCCACCTAACCAGGTTCTGGCCAGTGAGATGTATTCTGGCCAATGTGACTTCCCACCGGTGGGCGTTTCTCCACTGTCTTTTATCTTTGTCGGTCTCCTGGCTGTGACTACTTGGGTGATTGATCTTGGAAGCCACATCTTGAGAATGTCTCAGGCTCCATCAGCCTGGATTCTGAAGTCCTCAGTGGAATGAAACTCTTTCCCCTGGTTCCGCTGCTGGTCGAACACAGCTGATTTGCTGTTGAGAGTCATCCTAATGAATAAATCCAACACATGGAAGCTATTCCAGTTCATGAGGCAGAAGCTGGCCAGGTGAATGGCTAAAAAAAAAAATTGAACTCAGAATGGCTTCAGTGACAGTTACAATACGTTATAAAATGTCATAAAATGTTAAAATAACTTGCTTTACCTTAACTAATAGAGCAATTTAGAGATAAGAATCCACCCTCTCCAGGCTAAAAATGAAAAATTCTCTAACTATCAACCCCTGACACAGTGGAAAGGAACCTGAGGCACAGAAACATCTCATTATTTTCCTTCTTTGTTGGGTTAGTGGTCTGTGATAAAACTCAACTTCTTCAGTTCCCTTCCTGGATACTCTGGGCTGAGGATGACAAATGGGTTTAGTCTGGAAGCCACCTCCGCATGATTGATGGTCACTCCCTGCACTGAGGGTTCTGGGACCACATCAGCAAAGAGCACGGTGACGAGGCGATCTTCTCTGCCAAGTGCCCAGAAAGGGGGCGGCTGCCTGTGCGCTTGCAGCAGCCGCCGGCTCCCACTACCTGTCCATGGACAGGCTCCCTCAGAATCACTCGGGATGCTCGCTCACAATTCAGTCTCCAGGCCCCCACCCTCTGTCTTACAAGATTAATGAAACTCTCTGGGTGTCGACCCTGGAAAGCTGTACTTTCATAATCTTTCCATATCTTTGTGATAAAGAGTTCGCTTTGAAAGCCACGCAGGTGCACATGGGCACCTAGCCAAGGTATTATAAACAGCAGCAAAGACCACCAGACCACCTTCACTGCCTGAAGCTGGGTGACCCTGGGAGAGTCACTAAACCTCTCTGTGCCGCAGTTTGCCTCCTGTCTATATTAGGGATAATGATATCACCTTCCTTGTAGGGATATTAGGAAGGTTAAATGAGGTTGTGCATAATAAGCAGTCAACAAATATTAGTTTTTGTTATATTAGCTTCTTTTAAGAGTCTATAATCGTATTTTTCCCACAGGCACTGCCATAGGTAAGAACGCTGTTTTCTGCGATTTCCAGATGCCCTGGACAGCACCACCGTCCTGAAAGAGCATGAAAGACAAAAGCACTGGGGGCTCTGGGGCAGCGGTGATCATCACTCTCCACTCACTGCTGCCTCACGACTGCATCCAGGCTGGTGAGGACCACGGATGGGGAACCAGCTGCTGAGAAGAGCTGAGAGGCAGGCGAGAGGGAGGCAAGAGGTGAGCACAGGTGGATGCTGTCTTGGTCCTGATGGTGATGGTTACAGTGCCTGGGACAGTAATGCCAGTGGTGATGCTGGTCACAATAATGACCGGAAGAGTAGTCACAATGGGACATGATGGCAGTGTGCCAACCAACTCTGCTGATGTGGGATCAGAACTGTCAGAGAACAAGGTGCTCCATCTTCCTCAAACATGAACTCCTCACATTTAAGTTCATCCATATCACGGGACTCAAACAATAAAGAGTCTGCCTGCAATGCAGTGAACCAGCCCCAGCTAAGCCTGGCTCTTTTCAGCTGATCGATAAACACGTGGAAGAACAGAAAGCTAGCACCTTGCTGGTCTATCTGCCTCTCCATCTGTGGGCACCATTTGAGCATAGGTGAGGCCAGGCTCCTGGGGAAGAAAGGATGTGCGTGGGTGGTGCTTAGGGATGTTTTGATTGCTTCTTCAAAGTGGAGCCTTGGCCCAGGGTGGTGGTATCTTGGGACCCCAGGGGACCTCGGTCAGTCCCAGGCAATGGGCTTCAGTGAAATGTTGCCCATGAGGGACCCTGGGTGGTCAGAAGCCTGGGCATGCCTCCACCCAGCACAGCCCGGGGAACCGCTCAGCAGAAAAGGAGCCAGGAAGTCTGAGCTCAGGCCCCACCTTGCCTTTGCTCCTGGCACAGCTTTGAGCAGATCTTTCAACTTTTGTGACTCAGTTTACTCAACTGCCAAATGGAGATCATCACGTGGTGCTCCAAAGACTTTTGTAATACTCTAATGAGTGTTTATAAAGCACTTTGTAGGAGTTTATGGTTATTTGAGTTGGGAAAGGAATTACAAATTATTCCCAAGTAAACAGTATTTAGAACCTGGATTTTCACCAGTCAACAGGTTTGCCTGGATGTTTACAAGATCATTGTAACCAGACACCCTGAGGTCCCATCAGTGCAGACTGGTTTCACTTGTCAAATCACCTCTCCTCCCTGAGAAGCATGCTATATGCTTTGGGCAGGGGGTCGTCTGTGTATATGTCGTGCTTGTTTGTGATTCATGAACTAACAGGACAACTGGCTTCAGAAATGGAAGCCAGACACTCATCTTTCTTTTTGATTTTTTATATTAATTTTTTAGGATTAAGAGACAATGGAGTGCTCGCTTCGGTAGCACATATACTAAAATTGGAAAAGACAATGGAGAACTGTTTGAAAAGCCAACTAAACCTGATTTCTCCCCAGTTACATCTTCCAGAGTGCTACGTACTTCTGCTGGAATTTGCACTGCATAGGATATCAATAGATAATCACTGATAAAGAGATACACATGTATTTCCTCCAGAAGTTTGGAATACATAGAGTGCTGTGTGTAGGGGAAAAAGGGTGAGATGCTGTGCCAAACTATGTGCTCCCCTTTGCCCTGTTTTCCCTCATTTGCACAACTCTTATAGTATAAGCAAAGTTAGCGTCCCGATAGCAATGTCACCCACAGCCAGCGTGTGACCCGTGAAACTCACGTTCACATCCAGCTATGTCCATCTCTGCTTCTGTGTTACCGCTGCAGCTGCTACAAACCACTATTTAGCTCTGCTGTGCGTAGTCGCTCAGTCGTGTCTGACTCTTTGAGACCCCATGGATGGTAGCCCGCCAGGCTCCTCTGTCCCTGGGATTCTCCAGGCAAGAATATTGGAGTGGATTGCCATTTCCACCTCCAGGGAGTCTTCCCAGTCCGGGGATTGAACCCAGGTCTCCCGCATTGCAGACAGATTCTTTACCAGCTGAGCTTCCAGGGAACCCACCATCATCTATACCTCGCTGCAAATTACACAAGCACCTTACAAGTTTCTAAACTCTGTCCTATTCCCTTACCGTACAGCCAATGCTCTCAGCCTCCAAGCAGAAGAAAACAGGCAGGATGTGGAGGACAAGCGAGAAAAGGAGTGTCTGGGGCAGAAGTTGGGGCTCCCTGGCCTGACTTGGTTTGGTCAGAGAAGTGGTGGGACAGCAGGAAAAGAGCGCCTCTCTGGACTTCTAATATTGGGACAGGAGCCAAACTCCGCTCTTGTTTTGCTCTCCATTTCAAAGACCAGCCTGATTCTGCAGAACCGTTGCTGACTACTTCCCTGGTTAACATGAGCCAGGAAGCCAGAAGCTTCTAAGATTTTTTTTCCCCCAAAATCATTTCCATGAGGAGGGTCTGGGCTTCCTAACCCTGACCCACCATTAAGAAAATGAAGATGGGAAAGGGGGATGTGTCGTCTCAGAAGATCATGTCCTTGTCCACAAATCTTTTTAATGTGTGATTTCAATTAAGCCTAAAAGAAAGAGGAGAACAGAAGAACGGAGGGAGTCCGGTCCAGAGAATTTCCTACAAACCACTCAGCCTGGTTCTGAAGACCCACCACCGTCTGACAGCGAATTTCCATTCCCATCAGAGGGTGTCCATCCAAATCCATTCAACAAACTTTCACTGGAATCCCTCCCCTATGCTTCATGTGATGTTTATACAAGGATGTGAAGGAACTATCCCTGGCCTCGAGGAATTTATAATCTAGAGGGGAGACAGAAAAATGATATTATTCCAGAAAACTGCTTTAATGGAGAGATGAGTACAATGCCCTGCAAGAACATTCCATTCTGCTCAGCTCAACCAGATTCTTCACTGCTCAGAAAAATCTGAAAATTCTCAGTTTAATGTATTGACTCTCGGCTTCCTGTTTGCCCTAGATGTGTATCAGGCTCCCAGCTCCCTTTGGTTTAAGTCTTCACCCCCTGGCATATCAGGGACGCTGCTTTCTCCAGGAAGTCTTTCTAATGCCCCACATTCTGTCTCCTTGGAACTCTTAAAGCTCTTACTTAGTATCTCCTCTGTGACACCTCTTATTTTTCTGCCCAGTTATTTCCACATTTTTCTTAAGCCCCCCTTGCCCCAAGGGCATGCATGTCTGCATGCTAAGTCACGTCAGTCATGTCTGATTCTTTGTGACGCTATGGACTGTAGCCCACCAAGCTCCTCTGTCCGTGGGATTCTCCAGGCAAGAATACTGGAGTGGGTTGGCATCTTGCACAGGATAGGTGCTCAGTAAGTCTTTGTGGACTTCAATTAAACCCTATTGAAAATATTATCAAATAAAATTATGAGGAAATGTAATTACATCTAATAGAATTAAAAGATTCCTCTAAGAGAGTATTAAGTTTTAAAAACCAGATGAATAAGATAGAATAGATATTAAGGCACCGTTTATGTAAATACAGTTGTGTGTTGTTTCAGTCTGGGTCCTGGTAGGAGTCAGAATTCATTCCAAATTTAGTGAAAAGACCTCTTCAAGGGCTGTGAGCAAGGACTTCCCTGGTGGTCCAGTGGTTAAGAACCCACCTTTCAGTGCAGGGGATGTGAGTTCAATCCCTGGTCAGAGAACTAAGATCCCACACGCCACAGGGCAATTAAGCCCATGCACCGCAACGGAAGCCTGCATACAGCAATGAAAACCCAGTACAGCACCCCCCACACCAATAAAAAGAACCGTGGGCAGAGTTCATTGAACAGTTGGGAGGGTGACCAGCCCTGGTGGGAAGCCGTTATGGCTCCAAGGACATGAAGAGCAAGGAGGGGAATGGCTGGGCCTGGGCCTAGTTAGGACTGAAACCTCACAGGAGGGGCTGAAAGTAGAAACTGAAATCAGCAAGGACAGAAAATCCCCAGGAAGTTGTAGGGAAGGAAGAGTGTTCCAACTTCTCTGCCTGCCACTGGCTGAACATAACAGGATGCCAGCATGGGGTATGCAAAGGAGTCTGGATTCTGCCCTGATGGGCCAGCTTCTGGCCACAAAGCAGGGCAGAGAAGGGCAGAGAAGGTCTGGGGACTCCGTGGAGGCCACAGAGGACACACCCAGGACAGGATAGAAATGCATACCCTAGGAGTTGTGATTATGAAGGACGGTCAGCTTTTCCCTTCTCCCTTTTATGCAATTAAGTTTTTTACAATGAACATGTGTTGTCTCTATTACCAAGGGAAAAAATAGGATTTTTCATTTAACACTCTGACCTTCTAGAAATCCATGTGGGCAAAAACAAAAGAAAGGAAAAAATGAAAGGCATATTTCATGAGTAGTGATCTGGACTTTTGAAATCTCCTTCAAATGTTTTCAATCTCTAACTTGTAAAGTCAAAGTCACGCCTAGCCATTCATGTGTTCGTGCACTCACTGATGTATTCTTTCAGCAAATATGTCCCACGCTGGACCCAGGCAGACACAGCCCCAGATGCACGAAGCCTAACCTCTAGCAGAGAAAATGGAACATGAATCTACATGCCAGAGGTTGATGGTCCCCAGATGACAGATAAGAGGGGACTGTGGGGCTCTACCCCACTGGGAAACATGTAGGGGTGCCCAACACCCAAGGTGTCCTCTCCCCTGGCCCCGAGAGTGGACATGGAGGCCCCACCATCGCATTAGGTAGTATCACTCTTTTCCCCCAACAAGGCCAAGGGCGCAAAACAAGTCAGTGCCTCCATTTCTATCGGGCTAACTGTCCATACTCAGACGGCATATACGCACTATGACAATGAATTTAGGTAAAACTCACTTTGAATGTCAACAAATAACCGAAGTGGATAGGGGGGAGGGGAGAGGAGATAAACTGGGAGACGGATTCACACATACACACTGTGCTGTGCTTGGTCGCTCAGTCGTGTCCGACGCTTTGCGGCCCCACGGACTGTAGCCTCCAGGCTCCTCTGTCCATGGGATTCTCCAGGCAAGATGCTGGAGTGGGTGGTTGCCAGGCCCTCCTCCAGGGAATCTTCCCAACCCAGGGACCAGACCCAGGTCTCCCACATTGCAGGCGGATTCTTTACTGTCTGAGCCGCCAGGGAAGCCCAACAGATGCACACGACTATATATTAAACAGGTAAACCACAAGGCCCGACTGTATTGCCCAGACAACTGTATGCAATATCTTGCAATAACCTATCAATACAATGGAAAATAACCTGAAAAAAAAGTGTATATGTATATGTATATATATATATA